CCAACAACAACAGCAACAACCACAACTGAAAGGCTAGATTCTACCGAAACCTTGCAAACCGCTAGCCCTGATCTACACTCTTCAACAGGAAGGAAGGGGCTTCGAAGTTAGGATCATATTTCGATTTGAGGCTTGAGGTGCGGGCTTTCGGGTTTCAGGGGTGTTAAAATCTGCATGGGAAGTTTGGGGTAGGGGCGTCTCAGGGTCGAGTGATGGGATCCGTCTTCGCGCTGAAGGACCCCAGAGGGCATCCAGGTAGGAGAGCACGCTTCGATCGGACTTGATGTAGTGGCTGATCCTTACGCAACGAAACCCCTGCATTCCTCTGACTCGATCTCCCTCTCGGTCNNCTCTCTCTCTCTCCCTCGCAAGTGCGAAATCTCGAGTCGAGCCAGTCAAACAGACAGTCTCAAGCCCTTGCCAGATGGTAGCTCTTATGATCCCCAGACTCCGCGCCGAGGCACTGTGCGTGCTCCAGTGTCTCCTGGCCACTCCTTCGGGGTGTGTCGGGAGTCAGGCTTTCGGGCTTAGGGTTTAGTGTCTCAACATATAGCTATAGGGCTCCACAGATTCGGGTTGAGCTATGGTCAACAGAGTCTTAACACAGTGCCAAACTCCTAAGCCCAGTGCTCTTTGCGCCGCACACGCACCTAGTCATCCCCGTGAGATTTGAGCTCTCTTGAACATGTGTATACAGCAAGCCGGGCACCATCCGCGGAACATGAACTGCCGCAGCTTCGCGTAGGGCGGATTCCTCGGAAACTTTCTTCAAGTGATTTACAATTTACCGGCCCCGAAAAACGCGGCAGCGGGCGCAGGGCTTAATCTAGGCTGTGGACCTCTTGTCTGTGGGCTTTGGATTCCGGAATAGATGATGTCAGCATTGAGATCTCCAACACTTCGGCGAGGTGTCCGGCCTATCTCGACGGCGCAGGCTTGGGGAAGTAGCGAAGGAACACAAGTTTAAAGCACTGATCACCAAGCTATTCGTGGTCTGGCTTCGTCAGTCTGGAGGCATCGCATCAAACCTGCGCGAACACCAAGATGAAGCTTAAAGTCCAAAGGTCGCAAAACATCGAGCCGAACCTCCAAAAGCAACGATCTAAAGCCCAAAAGCAAAGAATTACATTCTATGCCCCAATTTAGCGAAGCTCATGCTAAACCCAAACCTAAGCCTTTTACACAAGAAGCAAAGCCCAGACCCTACCAAGGAGAACGCACACGCAGCCCGAGCAGCCCCCAGTGGGTGTTGGGGAGAGCAGCAGCCACCTTGCCGTCTACCTGCTCCAGGAAGAAACACCTCTCCAAGCAGCGTGTGGCCTTTCTTAATCTTCTCTGTCGCACAGTCGGATTCGCAGCTTCGGGTTCGAACCCTTAGCCCAGGAGGGCGGCAATCACGCGTTGATTACTCGGCGAGAATGCACGATTTGTGCAAGCCCCGACAAAACCGCCCCGTGAAGCCTAACCCAGAAGTCACCTTGCTAATCCCTTAGCAGCTTCAGCAACCCTAAGCCCAAAAGTCCGAAACCCTGTGGGCGATAAATCAAACCGGATCAGCTCTACTCCGCGGCTCCTATGAAGCATCAAAGCCCAAGCGCTCTGAACTTAAACCCTGACACATCCTGTCGGGATAGAACACACACTACATCGCAAGCCCTGCTCGAGATACTGTCGTTCCCCAACCTTTATCTGATGCCTTTTTAAAGCTCTAAACTCCCAGACCGACACACCAGCACACTGCCCCCATCCCGACCAGCCTGTGCTCGGGCTCGACTTCATCACCAAGAACGTGGTGACGTCCAAACCGTTTATGTCCCCTGCTTAGGGTCTAGGTGTGTCGGGCGTCGCATTTCGGACTTGCCGTCTCCACCGTTGTGGGTTCGGGAATTAGATCCTGCGCTTAAGATTCGGATAGGGGCAGTAAGGACGTACTGAACTATACTCCTACTACTACTGCTACTACTACCACAACAATCACGACAACAACGACGACGACAACGATTTTTGCGGCTACCACTACTG